ATTTGTTTACATGTTCATAACCCCTGCCTTTTATGGAAAGCTGGGTTTTGATGAGTTTTGGGCGCCTTTCCTATGAAAATTAATTGGAAGCATAAGAGTAAAGGCAATTAAACAAAGTATTGTCCACATTTGCCCTAAATTATAATTATTTCAGTGTTTTAAATACTTTTTACTGCTACTTTTATTATAGATTTTTATTTTTGTACTATTTAATATTGTCTGCAAGATGGCCAATCTTCTACCAAACTTGGAGTTATTGTACGTGATATTGAGGTTACAGGTCAGGAACAAATAGCACACATAAACTCCTAGGGTTTTTCCACTTTAATGCTTCAATCATACACAAATAGAAGTATTGGTCGAGCACTGGGCTGGTCGAGCACAGGTACTGTGACTCTAATACTCGTAAGAGGGTGTTGCGGTATAAATAGAGAGATAGTCTAGAGAGGCCTACATAATATAATTATGAAGAAAAAAAACGTATTTTAACGTCTATAATTATGATACATTACCTCTGACGTTGAAATATGTTGTTTTTTTTTCAAAACGGCTTATATTAAGTTTGTTTATATACTGCAGTATATATACAGAGAAATATATTACATGTTATCTTCATCTCTGATATACTGTACACGTGCTGGGATTGACAAATATACATCTTATTTGGATTTTAAAGGCGTTTTGGGCTTCACACCCCAAGTGTCTGTTGGAATATCTACGTTGCAACAGACTTGCTATTATATTCAACTTAACAATTTTCGATATTTTATTATACGGGAGACTATACGCGAAGCTCTCCTTTACTATCAAAATTATAGTTATCTCCCTTGGAAGAGTATTTTACTAAAGGGATCGTCTGCACATGAATAATAGTTTGAAATGGGCAAAAAAGACGAAGAAAGTGAATACGAGAAGAATTTAGATCCATGGTGTAAGTCTAGAAACTGTTACTTCGAAGTAGATCTACCATATTAAACTTGGGAGAAAAACATCCCAGGAAATGAGCTCTAGTCTAGTCAGGCTCGAAAGGGTCACCGATCGGCCATAACAGTTTCTTAGTGATGTCAGTCTACTCATACCTTTATATAATTTTAAAAATGAACATAATTAGAATTAAAATCCAGTTAACACAGTTTAGTAAACTGCATTTCCACCGTTGTTTAACCGTCTAAAAATTGCATATTAAATCTATTTTTAGCAACATGGCTGTCAATAAAATCACCTTTATAACTACACATATTCTTGATCATCCGCAGAGAAAGTAGTCCGCGAGTTAAAGCATAATTTTACAAAAACCAATTCATGATAAATAGAGTTTCAGTTTTATTTCTTGTCATATTTATCAAAATTAACAATTTGAGTTAAGTAAATGTGATTTCAGTGTTAAAACACGGTAAAATACGTGAACATAAATTATTACATTGCATGAATACACAATCTTGTCAACCTGTAGTTTGCATAGATTAGTGGTTCAATGGATAACACTCAAAGTTAGACATAGGAAACGGATAATTTAACTATTTTGATCATTGTTATTGCTCATACACCACTAAGAACAGTTTTGGAATTAGAAACAGTTCATAATGGGTAATTCTGCCACAGCCAAAAAGGGTGACCCAGCGGAAAATGGTATGCTTTTGTAGTGTGAAAATTCAGTTGCCTTGGTTTTAGTGCATAGTCTTTTATTACTGAGTCTTACTTTGTTTATTTAATTCATTACTGTATTCTTAAAAATTAAATTTCTTGTTTAGATTCATTATAATCATATGTAAGTAATTTTTGTGAAACTTTTCATCTGGATTAATTAGACAAATTAACTAATTAAATGAGGTGATATTTCCTTTTTCAACATAAAATTTGAGAATATTTATTCATGCATAATCAAATGTGGTGAATATACTGTATACCATTGCATATGTTGATATCTTGAATATATGCTCAAAAACCAATGTTTCTCAAATTATATGAACATTTTTAATTTTGAGCCTTTAGCAGTGTTTAGTTATAATTTATATAAGTTGAGCCTTTAGTAAATTGTAAATTGTATTTTACTTTTTGTAGTACATATTATACTTTTGTAAATTTTGCGAAAACACGCAAACAGTAAGCTGATCTGTGGTAGATGCTGAATTACAGATACCAATTACTTATTCTTTGCACTACTGAATAAAATTACAACTTGTGTCACTGTGTCCACTTTTCAAAGTTTAACATTTTCGGGCTTGTCAAAACCTAATCAGGCTAGTAGATTTTGCAAACCATAAACATTGCGTTTTTGGTGCTAAATTCTCTGACTGCAGCATAGATGTGTTGTCTATGCATACATCATAACATGTATGTCACGGTTTAGAACTGTTCAATATTTAGGAGAGAAGAATAGATGTATAAGATATGTTAGGGAAGTTATATAAAGTGGCCAGATAGTTCAGTCAGTAGAGCTGTGGAGCGGTATAATGAGGGTCCCAGGTTCGAGTCCCTGTCAAGTTGCACATTTTTCTCTCCCTGTGACATTTTGCACCCAATGGGAGATTATGAACGCATGTGGCTCAAGAGTTTAATTCACATTACTCTGTAACCCTGAGATATTTGGAATGAATTTCAATATAGTGGGGCAGTTTGTCATGGTTCAGAACTGTTCACTTTTTAGGGGGAGAGATGTGTAAACTGCAGGATAGCTCGGTCTGTATAGCCTTGGGTCCCTTGATCGAGTCCCAGTCAAGCTGTACATTTTTCTCACCCTAACTGTGACACATAGTTATCAACACATACATAACTTGTTCATACTAAGTATTATAGCACCTCCAAATATTGGTAAAGAGCCAGGGAGAAGGTTGGATCTTTGAACCTTTTATATTCAGAGTCTTGTGTTAGAATCCTGTTGAATAATCACTTCTGTTCTAACATCATTTTCAATAGCTTTATGTTAAAGAAGTTGGGATTGTTACTTTGTTTAGAAAAAAAGGGAGGTTTATACTGCACATAATGATCACAAAACTTCGTGATTATACTGTAGTGGATTCGTTTAGTAGGCATATAGCAAATCCATTGACGTACTAACGGTCCTTGTTCTGACTTCTGTACATCATTCAGAGAATGTCCTGGTTGAAAACCTTTTAAAAAAAAGTAAAAAACAGTAACATAGTGATGGTGTAGACTGTAGAGGGATGTGATGGTGTAGACTGTAGAGAGTCTATTGTTGAGCAGCATCATGTACATTCAATACATACAGTCATACTATAGCCAAACATCATAAATGCCATTATATGGCTAAATGAAATAGTCACATGAAACTTGTAATAAAAGTATTTTTGAACACAAACTTGAAACAGTTTTCTGTTTGAAAATTTTTGTGATGTTATAAATATTATAATAGAGTGACAGTGTTATACATGTGGTGATGTACACTGCATATGACACTTGCAAGCTAGCTGTTGTCAACTGTCTTGCAATTGTGTTGTTTACATGTCATTTATACAAGGTTATGTAGGTGTTTTTGAAAGAATGCATATATAACTTGGATAACATTTGCATTGTGACTTACAAAATTAAATCTTATACAATACATTTATTGGATAAGGAGTATGAAAGTTTCCCTGAAAATTTGCTTTTAATGACATGTGCCAGGTGTGTCATTTGTATAAAAAAATAACTAGGCTATTGTTCTGAGGAGAAAAAAAGTTCTTTATATTGAAACCGTTATATTTTAATTTCTTAACTGCAAGGCAATTCTTTTGGATGCCACGGTCAAGTTGTCCCTTAAAAAAAAGATGTTACTTTCATAAGAAACCTTTATTACATCATAAAAGGCATTTCTTCCAAGTCTTTTAGGTTCAATAAGTTTACCAAAAGAGTCACAGTGTTGCAAATCAGTGTTGGATCAAACTCCAAGTGCTCTAACTGTACAAACTTTAACAAGTATGGCTATGCTTTTTGTCAAATCCTTATGTGGGTGACAGGTAACCATACAAAATAGAGGAATATAAAAACTCAGTTTTAAATTTTATTAATCTCAATACAAACTTAATATGCTTGAACTACATGTATAAAGCAGTCACACAGTTTTTGTTATAATGTTATATTTACTGGTTTCATATTTTGTTTTGTTTCTTCATACAATGTAGGCACGCATTGACAATTTTGGTAAATCAATTATTCATAAGTTGTTTTTTTATGTCTGTTGATTTTGTTACAAAGATAACTTTTATTGTGTACATTTTACAGTATGTAAGGTCACAGGCATGAATATCGGACCTGGGTAGAAAATATGACCACATTGATAAAAAACCTCTGTGTTCATCTTAAATGAGTCCAAAAAAAAGTGAAATTATAATTATGAGCCCCCTTTAAAATGTACTATAACTTACAGTATAGTTTAAAGGGGGCTCATATTTCACTTTTTTTTTTACCCATTTAAGATGAACACAAATTTTTTTATCAATGTGGTCATGTTTTCTACCCAGTTCCGATACTCGTGCCTGTGTGTAAGGTCAGATATTAAGTCATCTGGGTTCAATGTTATAAAGACTTCTTCTGAGGTCTCAAATATTAGATTCTGATTGGTCAGAAACCTGACCACAGAATGTATATTGAACAAAAAAAGACACAAGTTTTGAGACAGAAGTCTGACAGAAAAATGTTTTAGAACTTTGAGGTCAGGACATTTGTATTATATACATGTATATACATTTTAATTTTCAATAAAATGCTAATTATTAAAGATTTTTTTCTCTATTTTCAGTCAAAGAGTTTCTTGCCAAGGCAAAAGAAGAGTTCACACAGAAATGGGATCATCCAGGACAGGTATGTGCATTATATTGCTTTGTTTTGCACTCAGCTGCAATAACTAACATTATTCTTTTATCATACATGGATGCCATAGAAAGTCTGTTTGGAATAGCATCAGATTAGAGTCATATTTATCAGTTTGTATGACATGTTATTTTGCAACTTCTAGGAAACAGTAAAGAGTTTTATTTGTAAAATAATATGAAGATTGATGTTGTCTGCTCACTGCATGTTTGTCACAATCACAAAATCTAGGGTCTGCCATACAAATGATTTGTTTCTTGTCTTCAGAATTTTTTTAAATCAGGAAAAACAATGCACTGTTTATTGTCCATTTGAAAAAAATAACATTGCTCTCCTGCTCCTCTAGAAAATTAACAATTTTACCACTTTATAATGGCTTCTGTTTTAATGGCAAATCTAATAATACATAAACTGTATTTATGTAAAATTTTACGAAGTGTTCTTGATAAATAAAGATGATAGGGTCTCTATGGATGTTCATACTTAAACATGTTTGGTATCTGATAAACAATGTATATAAACTTGACACATATTTATATATATATATGAATCTGTTGAAGTACTTGAGCATATAATACTTAATGAAGATTAACTGTGATGTGAAATCAATGGTATGTGTATTGAAAGATGCAGGATATATCAATATGTTTCAAGTAACCACAGTTACAGAAGCTACAAAAGATAGCTAAGTAGGGAGAGCACTCATATATATTTTTGCCGTTCTATAAAAGTTTAATTTAAACTATCTAGATCTATTCTAGTTGCACTAATGGCACTTGCTAAAACAGTCTTCAACTTGTACTTTATTTCATACCATGAACAGTGTGTGCATAATCCAAAACAAACAATTATTTTTACAATATGCATTTCACTGTGTAAAAAAAGATCTTCAGTTATGAAAATGGAAAAAAGTTGAAAGGGACAAACAGAAAATCTTTCCCTGGTTACTGACTGAGAGTACTTGTTTTTATCATTTTATATGTTAATAGTTTTGCATATTAGAAATAATAATTTAACAAATGGCTTTAAATTTAAAGAGCCTAGTCTACTCTTAAATTACAAATAGTTGCATGTTTCCCAACTTCAACTTGAATGTTATTGTACTCTTTACAATCATATTTTAACCTTGCCAAACAACAATTCGATTTTGAATAGAAGTTTCAGGTTTTTTCAGTAGATAATAATACTTTAAGTAAAATGAAAACATGTTTTTCTTTCATGAATTAGGCCAGTGGTAATGAACTTATGATCAATATCTATTACAAGTCATGTTGAGGCCTCATGTTATGAAGGTTATTTAAAACAGAATACATGTAAACCAAGTAAAAGCCTGAATGTAGCACAATAGTGAAATTACCTGATTTAAAAAGGACATGCAGAAATGTTCTTAATGCAAAGACCTTAATTTTGAAATAAACATTTTCTGATGACAGCCATGGCAGTACCTAAAGTCAATTACAATTTACAAGCCAGCATTTTTTCTCCAGAAAGTCTTTAACGTTTTTTTAACTCGTTCAAACACTAATATTAATCATGTCGTTAAACGCGTTTCAACTTTGATTAGTTAATAATTTTTTCTGGGGTCATTTTTTTTCTTTAAAAAGCGAATTTTTTTCTTTTTTTTTTCAGGTTTTTTTTTTTTTTGTTTTTTTTTATTTTTCTGGGGGTCTTTTGGCTTTTTTTTTCTTTAAACATATTATATGAAACTTGTATATTTTATCCTGTGTCATGAGAAAAGTTGACAGAAAATCAAGTACATGTAAATAAGTTTTCCATGACTTTGTTTCAACTACAAATCAATACATGTACATCTTTTTTCAGTTGTAAATGACTTTGACCACAAAAACTCACCATTGTGTGTTGATTTGTCTTATATCATAAAATGCTCATCTTATTTTTACAGAACACTGCAGGCCTGGATGATTTTGACAGAATAAAGACCCTGGGTACTGGTTCCTTTGGGAGAGTAATGTTGGTGCAACATAAAGCAAATAAAGAATACTATGCTATGAAAATATTAGACAAACAAAAGGTAATTATTTTGTAGGGCAATTAGAAAAAATTTACAACACCTGATTATGCCCAGACTTTTATGTTTTACGTCATGCATAATTACTTAAAATTCCACTTTATTCAAAGTTTTGTTATTTATTTCTGTAATCATTATGAGGAGTTCATGCTAAGGTAAAAAAATAGTACTTAAAATTTCAGATAACTGTATAATAGACAGGTTAACAATTAAAATTTTGACAGGAAAAAAGCACTTAATTGTATTTTCTTGTTTTCCAATATAGAACTTAATTAAACGAGCAAATTGTTTACGAATTTTCGCTTGTAGTCAAAAAAATTAACAGGAAAAATCCATGGACGCCAATTTTTTAAATCTAGCAAAAGAGTTTAAAAATTTAACTCAAAATTATATGTTTTTAAGTATATGTAAAAAAAATTTTAAAAAAAAAAAAGAAATTAAAAGAAAAAAACGCAATGATTAAAATCAGAGTGAGCAAAGGATCATGTTTTCATTTTAAATTCAATAAACAAAAAACTGCCTGAGGTTTCTTTATGCATTGTAAAGTTAAGATTTTCTTTCTAAAATAAACCCTTTGACTACCATGGAGAGATGTGTATCAGTACTTTTTATAGGTCAGCTCAAGATAACACACAAATATGTCACATAGATCTATCAAATGGACAAACAATGATAATGTTGTTTATGAAGCAAATTTAAAACTAAGTGACATTTTGCTATACCTTACCTTGAGTGGTAATGATTACTTAAACTGTCAAACAGTTTAGTAACTGGTGCATTTCTGTGATAAAGTAAAGCATACATAAAAGGTAAAGTCCTTCAGTTTGACTGTAAATCTCACTCTTTATAGTGAAATAATGGCCTGGCCTCATGCTGACATAGTAATTTATCATGCATTTCAATGAAAATAAAATACACATACATTAAAGATATAAATTCATGAAGTTTTATTTTCGATTGTCAATGGTAGAGAACAGGTGATAGTGTATAAACCCACTGCTACATTCTTTGCAGAAACATGACCACAAATGTACCATTTAAAATGCCAATGAAATTTTCCACAGCTTAGTTGCATTTCACTGAAATAATTAAAAAAAAAAAGATTTATGGTTCATAGAAATTCTGGTAAGTTTTTGGGAAAACACCATAGAATGCGTCACAGATGACCTAGAACTAGTTAACATTTTTTTGGGAGAGCATGTCCCCAGATGTGTTACCTCCATAGCCACTGTAACCTATATAAGACCCGCATATTTTTGAAAGGAGTTTTTTGAAAAAAAAATACATTTGACTGTATGACTGATAAACAAACTATAGTTGACCTATTGATGAATGATTTTCTAATAGAAGCTTACATTTATTTTCAAAAGGATCAAAAATATTTTGTTATTTATAGAAGAAAAGAAAAAGAATTTCATGTTCTGAATTCTGATGTAAAACACATAAAATATTTATTTAGAAATAAGATCTGAATTTTAACCTTTGATTTGATACTGAATATCATTTGCTTGTAAAGGTAAATGTTTTTTTTGTCAGCAATATTTACAATGTTAAGTTAATGACTTATTGTGATACCTGTCTTTGTTAAATAAACCTTCAAAGCAATATCAAAAGCTCTCAATTATCAAGATGTATAACTATATAATACACAAACAAATGCATATATCATTTCAAGTGACTTTAATGGACCTATTCAATTTTGAATGCAGGGTCATTAAAACAGCGGCCTGGCATTTGTGCTAGCAGTAGAAGGTCACGATTATCATATATGTTCATTGAACCTATATGAATTTAGACTTTACTAGTGGATGATCGATCAAAATCTCTTAAAATCTTAAAATGGATAAACAATTCAGTGACCCCTGATTCAGATATGTTATTTGCATAATTTCTTATGATAATGACCATCTCTATAAACCTGTTTACTTATTGTCTCTCAATTAATAATTTGACAAGATGTCTTTAAGGTATGTTTTATGACCAATACGGTTGAACTGTATATACTGAAATAATTTCTTTCCAACGGTGTGCAAATAGTGCTAAGGTGTTTTATTACTTTCGCTTATTAAGTCTTGCTGAGTGGTAGATAAAATAATTTACCCAAATATGAGTTGTCAGTCATTGCCCTAATCTTTGCTAATTTGAATGTTTTGTTCAATTCAATAACAATTTTAAATGGTCTTTAAATTTTAGCTAGATGTTTTGAAGATAAGTGGAGTTATCCTTATTCTCAGCATTTATATAACAATTGCTTAAATTTGTTCGTGAAACTTTATATGATTTCTCATTTACTATTGATATTATTCACTTGAAACTCAAGAACATTTCTTTGAGATCATAATTTAGGTCACTGTGAAGACCTGTACTTCTGTCATTGGATTTTGACTTAATTACACTCTGTTTGAACTCAGTTTCAGGGTTCTGCATTCAAAATCTCCTCTTTATACATGTCTTGCTGCTCAGTTACTCTGAAATTGTTATACATTACATTATTCCTCTTAGAAAATTTCTGCATTTTTCAGATTTCAAATACTGAGAATAGTCAAGTGCACATGCATGTCTTGTGCAAGATATATTGTTATACATTTGAAAAGTTACTTGATTTTTGGTTTATGGTTTGTATTACTAATGATATATGATTTTTTGTTTACTTTTAGGTGGTGAAGTTAAAACAAGTAGAACACACTCTGAATGAGAAAAGAATATTGCAGGCCATCACATTTCCATTTCTTGTTAGTTTAGAATATCACTTTAAGGTAAGTTGAATTTCTGAACTTTCTTTTTTTTTCAAAGTAAATTTAATATTAGGGAGATCAGGCTTAAAGCTTGAAGCTGTCTGGCCAAAAGTATTGGTATTGAACTTGGTAAGATTGCACAGGACATGTTGACTGGCCAAGCTCTATAGCCTAAAGTAGTGGGAAAAAGCTGTACCTTTGTTAATTTCACAGAAAGGAAGCATGTGTTTTTTTTGATGGTATAATATATCCTCTTACATTGTTTGGTTGATTAATATCTAGAGATACATTAAATTACATCAATTTTCCTTATGGTAAAAAGGTGACTTGGTTTTATTTTTATCACATTTTTGGTCATACCTCGGCAGTCAATCCATCTTGTAGGCTTTATTTGATAACTATCTGGTAATTATCAAGTTCTCTGCAATTTTGACTAATTTAAATTTACATATTTTTAAATTTGAAGCGAGAGACAAAGACAATAATCATATGTCAAAAATCAATTTCACAGGAAATTTTGCCTTCCAAAAGGGCAAACCAGTTAAACCCCTGGATACTTATCCAAACATGCCTTTAGCGCCAACAGGGAACTAAGGCTGCTGACTTTTATTTAAAACCTCTTTTGGAAATTTTCAATTTAATATAATATGATCCCTTAGTGTAGAATAAAACTTGATGGAAGAAAACCTGGGGATTTGTAAAGGTTTTTAATGCAAAAAAGGAAAGAAAACTTCCCCCCATTTTGTTACTCTTTATAGCTTGTTTTTTTTTTGAAAAGCATTTTAAAAATTTCTGAAAATGAAAAAGATTACAATGTTTTTAAATTATTGTCATGTTTTTATTGTTTTTTTGGTG